TCTTCTCCTTCTTCTCCTTCTCCTTCTTCTTCCTCTTCTTCTTCTTTGTAGTTAATTGGAGATAATTGTCTTTCAGACTTTCTTCCTAGGGCTGGCTTTCAGACTTTCTTCCTAGGGCTGGCTTTGAACCACAATCTTCAGACCTCAGTTTCCTGAGTAACTAGGATTACAGACGTGAGCCACCAGCATCCAGTTTTCTAGATGCATTTTTGAATGGGAACACATTTCAGTTTCTATGTCAAAAGCTAAACTAAAGATCAACCATGGCTGAAAATGTAACAACCTAGGACTTTCTCCACCCTTGAACTGCCCCCTGGCTTTAGATCTGCCCCCATGTATTTATATGCATGAAAGTGTGTATGTGTTGTCCATCATGGGGCTTGAACTCAAGGCCTGGGTGCTGTCCCTGAGCAATTTTGCTCAAGGCTAGCGCTCTACCACTTTGAGCCACAGCTCCACTTGTAGATTTTGAGTGATTAATTGGATATAAGAGTCTTATGGGGACTTTTCTGCCCAGGCTGGCTTTGAACCATGATCCTTCAGATCTCAGCTTCCTGAGTAGTTAGGATTACAGGCGTGAGCCACCGGTGCCCAGCAATGTGTATTTGGCATTGCCTTGTCTTCTTAGAGTCAAGCACAGCTTTGGAGAGAGTCACAAGGAACAGGGCGTGAGCACAGAAGGCCATCTCCATAGCTAGCTGGGTGGCCACAGCAACCCCAGGGGTCCTGGAAGAGCAAACATCTGATGATCTTCCTATTCCTACTGGGGTTGGCAAAAGTGGGGATCAGGGAGGAAGCCCTGGTCTCTGTCTCCCTGTGCCTGGGGGCGGGGGGACGTTCCATCCACAGGCAGAGAGCTTTCACTCATGGAAAGGTGGGGTGGGAAGGAAGCAAGGCCTCACCCAACAGCTGCAACAACAACTCAAACGCACATCGCTGCTTAGTTGTGGCTGTGTCAGAGCCTTGGTGTGGACCCAACCCATAGGAGGACAGAAAATGGGTTTCCAGGGCACAGATCTTTTAAACTTCCATCTGTTTTCAGCTTCTTCATGATGACTGCACGTGGTGATCACAAGGGAAAAGCAACTTGGGAGCAAACAATGAGATCTTACCTTTTGGGTGTGAGGGATGTATACAGATTCCAAAATCTCCTCTGGCTTAAGGTCTGCACTCACTACCCCAGCAAGAAAATGATCGTTGAGGGGAATCTGCCGTGGACCATCTGTGGAAGAAAATGGCATTTTTGCACCGTCCTAGCAAGAAACACAAAGTGGTTCTGAACATTTAAATGCCGGCTGTGAGAGGAGAAGGCTTGCGGCATAAGCCATGCAGGGCTCTGTTCCCTCTACTTTTCATGATGACATTTGTTCTCTCAGCAGTGCCCGTGCCCTGTACAGGGAGGCCACTTCCACCAGGCAGCCTGCCGGGCCTGTGGGTTTTCATCTTAAAGAAGAGGCTAACAGACTAATTAGAACTCGTTCCTGGCTCAGATGGAGGTGCAGGGATAACCCCAGTGGATACAGGGTTTGTTATGCTTCGTGACCAGAAGCTCAGATGACCGGATTTGCTTTTTGTTCTTTGCTGCTTTGGGAACACCTGTCTCAGGAACCAAGTGAAGTCTCTAAAACCTCCTTCCTGCTCAGCTTTTAGCAGCTGGTAGTCAGAACTGTGGCCTCAGGCTCCAAAACATGTCCTCTTTTAGGTGCCTGGCATAGGATAGTTTCTAAAGAGTTGAAGCATGAGGTATAGTTTTATTTTTTTGGGGGGGGGCAGGAACCTAAGGGAGTCCATGTTGATCTTGGCCCACCTGCTGTGCTGCTGGTCTATGGATTAGCTGATCTACTACTTGGCTGGAGTGCTGACAGGTGCTCACTTGGGTAGAGATGTCTTTGTAGGGAAAGTAGAGACTGTAAGCTGAAGGCAATGACTGTCATCCAGCAGAACAACGTGGCCATTGCTACGATAGTAGAAGGCCCTGGACAGGGACAGGGACCAGGCATCACTCCATCCTGGGGCCCTAGAGTCTTGGCTTCTTCTCCTTTCCTGGTCTTTGGGAGTGGAGCGGAGGTATCCCAGGTTCCAGGCCTGGGGCACCCAGCGGAAAGCCTGGCTTACTCAGTGGCTTGAGCCTTTCATTCCCTCCACTGTGAAACTCAGTTGGATAAGAGCTGTAGGGATACACGTTCGCTCTTTGCCCCCTCACCCTGTGTCAACCCCCGATGGCAAGGGGCAGGGTTTTCTTAGCAGCACACATCTCAGGGAGGCCCGTGCCCCTGGGTGGACCCAGTCTGGGGTCCACATGGGCAGAGATTGTGATTGCTCCTCTCAGACTCCTTTTGTCTGGAGCACTGTTAGCCCTCAGGAGGGGGCACCATTGACCCACAGAAGGGATGGGTGAGAGAGAGAGAGAGAGAGAGAGAGAGAGAGAGAGAGAGAGAGAGAATTGGATAGGTGGTCAG